AGTGCACCTCTGCCAGCTAACCTTATGAGATAGGGATACCACGATGCATTGATAATACATATTTGCATACGCTCCCGAAGGTGCCGGGCACCATTTAGTTGGCACGTGTTGGCGCTATCTGCATAATGATGTCACCCACGTGTGTCGCGCGGCACCCGTTCCACGTCATACAAGGCGTCTCGTTGGATTTAATGAGGGGCTCAGGAAGGCTTTGCGACGCGGGGGGCTACCAGGATTCGGAATGGAGGGATCCAACTTGTTTAAGACCGAGTCCGACCCCGTCCTCAATGCCGACGCACTGTGAACAGAGTATTGACGCCGCAAACGCTAAAAGCCACAGAACGTAAGGCGTCAACGGGCTACCAACGCTCGTTTGTCCTGGTGCCGACAACGATTGCCGCAATCGGGAATGGTACACACTCACTTGACTATCCGCTAACCTCGTCGTTGAATTACTGCCGCTGGATGCGACACGTCACTGCCCGTGTTAGCCAATGATATGTAAAACCAAAATGATATCCCTGATCACGAGATTGCGGAGCTATGTTCACTCGCGCCGGGGTGAACGACCTGCGCTCGATCTTGACGGCGGCGGGGGTGGTCTCGAACCCCATGAGCCCCGCCCCCTGGTTGGGTGCACCTCTCGACTTCACGGCTGACAGGAAACGTCCTTCAGAGTCCAAGTGGTCAAGAGGTTTATAGAGATAGTCCCGCGCGATTTCATAAATCAATTGATTGAAACGCAGCGAAAAACGGGTTGAAAATTGGCGGAAAGCGGACCTGACTGAACATTGCAGGTTCGACTGATGAGACTGGTGAATTTTTGATGATTAGGTTTCTTTGGCTGTGACCAGTTTCATAAGAAACATAAACGCCTAGGTTGCAGATTGATATCGTTGATAAAACTATAAGCCAATGCGGTTTTTGAGGCTTGAGCTCCCTGGTTTTGGGTTTAAGTTTGAACGAGTCGCATTCGATTGTTTTTTATAGCCGCATTGGCTTCTCCGGTCGACTGCTATATACCTTTAGACTGGACAGCGTTCACCCACAAAAACTGAGCACTGACCAGCCTGAATTATGCAGCTCCTTTCATGCCTTTATCTCTTATGACTGTCAAGACCTAAAAAGAACACAGAACACCGAAAATCACGTGGGTTGACGCAGTGCTCGTATTCTCCCCCAGAGAATGGTGCCCACTTCACTAATGTCACGATTTGTAAAATGGCGCAATATTCGAACCGGAAAAGTTATCATTTCTCGCAATAGAAGAATACATCAAGTATTGCTTTGTTGACCAGCCTTGCTAGCATGCAGTCGAGTGCAGATTTACGAAATACTGATGAGCCCGAATTAAGTAAAGATAAACCAAAGCGTAGTCTCTCGGAAGGGCTCAAACGAGGAATTGATACCACGGATGGAATAAATTTTCGGATTATTGTCCTTCTCTGGAGTATTAGTATGCATACAACATTTCGGCCAACTAATTCTCCGGCCGTCATCAGCATCTGCCAGCTTATGGCGCGCATAATAAGACATTCACGGCTCCATGACTGGCACGTGGACACCTTAGTGTAATTTGGTCGCATGTAGATTTTCTTGCCTGTTCTTATGGGTCTCGAGGATGACAAACTCTTTGAGCACACCACAATTGTCAATAGTCTACTGCCCATCGACCGCTTCAGACCCGGAAATGTTAGAACCTGCCCACTCCCTTTCAAAATCCATGTGTTCGGAGGCAAGGCTAGTGATCTTTCTGGGCCCTTTGAGGGCATTGCATCACTATGACGTTGCCAGGCGACTTTCATCACACCGGGACCATGTTAAGGTATTAGGACTCCTGGCCGTCTCAAACCAGCCGACCGTCTTTGAGCCCTTGACCACCTCGGGTCGCCTGGCCTTCTATGTACCCTTACGCACATAAGCTCATCTCGTTCGTGCGGGTGTGGGTTGGGGCTAAGTGCTGCCTTATTGTTCAATCCTTGGTTTCGTGCGCCGTTTTGAGTTCTGGACATTACCACTCGGTTCGAATTTTGGGATGCTCTAACTAAATACAAGCCAGGGACATAAACATTAGTGGCCACTGGGAAATGCCCCCCCCCCCCCTGTCCACCACTCAACAGCCAAGAGTTGTTTCACTAGATGCTGGGCGATTTCGCCTGGACTGAATCCAAATTTTGCAGGAGTTCGGAGAAATCTGATATATCCGTCATGAGGAACATTCTTGCTACTTGCCAGCTAGAAGTGAGGTCTTTCTCTCTCAATGAACTACAAGATGGCGCCCTTGCGATTGGAATCCCAACATGATATTGATAAGGGTCAATACCAGGATTGGTCAGGGTGAATTTAGGTCAAGACCATGATGCGACTTCTAATCGTATGACTGACCCTGATTGCCAAACAACCAAACTAATGAGCGGATTGCACCAAAGCAATGCAGAACAAGAATGTGGATTGCAGTTGCTGTCTTTATTGCAAAAACCATAGTGAAAAGCCGTCTCCCTGGTCTAGGGGAATACTCCGTGCTCATAATACAGTGGTTCTGAGTACGGGGCCCAGAGGAGGCGCAATGCTTGGCCCCACCGAGATAGATAGATCAGCTGACAGCTGGCCAACGAGGTCTGCCCGTCCCGATAGTCAACATGGCTAGAGTGCCTGCCTTCCGATCCAACCATCCGTGACGGGGTGGATTCGATTCGATTTAGGCGCTCGCAATCCGCCTCTTGACAGATAGGGCTGCGGCCGTTGGCAACGGCTGCACTGAAGGTCATGTGACGGCAGAGGTTTGGTTACTTGGTTGTATGGATTAGAGCTCTTTCGACCAGTAGTGATGATTTGTGGGCTATGGGATGCAAGAGAATTGATAATGGTGGGGCCGTACTACATGCGCCTGGGGACCCAATCGCCGAGGCTTGTTCCGCGTAGGGACCGCTGTGCAGGGCGTGCGCTGAGCGCCGGGGCCGGGACCCCACCAGGGGGTGTCTCGGTCCACCCATGACAGGCGCATGCTGTCTGCTCCGGATAAGCGGGGCATCACGAGGATACTAAATAAAGCTAGAGATAGCATGATAGGGCGGATGAAAGTCAGAGAGCAGGACGGACCGTGCGAGCACCGCTGCACTTTCCCCACCAAATACTGCCATTGGCCTTGAACTGTACGATCGGGCGGTAGAGGCCAGACTTATGCAACAAGGTCCGCTTAGCATGTGCTCTGATCCCAGAAACCCATTCATTCAAAAGGTTCGGATTAAATTTTTGCAAAATGTCCACGTTCCTTTCCCTATTCAACCCAACTGCACAAGCGGGAGCGTTTATGCCCAGACGTAACTACCAACGCTTAGGCGGAAGCATTTGAAGCTATGCGGAATGAAGTGTGGGCGGCCTTCCATCTGCCTTAAGTCCAATGCATGTCGCAAACTGATACGAGTGCCAAAAGCGGTATATAGTGGAAGCGTGAGAGCATGGTGACAGTCACACTGACATAATATTTTCGTCGTGGAAATATCGTGTAAAACAAAAGGACGCTAGTTACTTCGCTAGTCAGGTGCCTGAGTAAATGCAAAACTAGGGATGTGTCAACTTATCCTCATAATTATCTTGACATTTAACCGTCGTAAGTTGTCATTAGCGGTTTGGTTCAAAGCAGCACAATGCCGGCTGTTGGTGTGTTGCATTCATTGCAGATGTGCACACACGCTGTACCGTTTGTTGTTTCAAATCATACAGTTTTAACGAATAAACAAGATTACGACGCACATGGGGAACGCAAATTGACATGAAAACCATGTCAGGCCGGGCAGGTCCGCGGGCCAACAGATCTTGTGGTCTGGCGAGCACTCTATCAGCATATGTGATGGACTCGGATATGGCAGCAGAAATAAAATGCGTGCATTTTTGGGACAACTACATGCACAGAAAAACGACATCCCTTGATTTTGTATTGCCTTTTCGGGAATCCAATGCATGTGAAAAGGTTAAAAACGGGGTTTGTAGCGGTAGCCAACACATTTGCTTTTTCCCGGGCACTGACTGTTGTATGGTTGAGCAAAACGTGCATTAAATTTCTTTGTAAGCCAACACATGTTCGTTCCGCGTCTCTACGATACCGGATTATCCTTCTCTATCGCCGTTAGAAACCTATTTTGCAGCTTTTTCTCAATTTGCAGCCTGTACAATTTCCATGTCGATCAAATGGATGAAGAAACATCGGATCGCTGACAGTTCTGCTGGAAACTCACGTGTGCTATAACGGCTAACAAGTGGATGCTTTCCCCATAGCGATGCGCGATTTTCAAACATTTAGGTTTCTTTCCGGTCCAGTAATAGCCGTATTCATGCTTGTATGCATGAAAGTATGCTGCCACCATCTGTGCCTATTCCTAAAGCAACTATTTTTCGGAGCTGCTTTTGTTGATTACAAAGATACAAGGGTAACTATAAAGATATAAATATGTTTGCTTGTCAAAAAAGAAAATGGCGTGGTTCGGTTTTCTCAGGCTGAAACTGCTCCACTTTCTAAGTAAAGTCTTCTTGCGTTCATCCTAGCACGCAATCACTTAACTGTTGACCCTTGGTCTTGCATCTGACAACTGCATTTAGGTTTAGATCAGCTTACAGGAATATTGCACTGGCAACACAAATTCCACTTCAGCCATGTTATCTATACGAATCCCTCAGACTACGTCACACAGCTTTTCTGAGTGTTGTTACCGGGAAAACTGAATTAAACCCTTCCGCAATGAGATCGCATTCTCCCCAGCAGCCACCTGAAGCGAAGCCAAACTGAGCGTATGTGGTCGAAGTCAAAGATCAGGACTTATTCCATGAGCTGGGATTGGACAGCGATGCCACTTACGCGAAACCAAGCTCACGTCGGCTAGCCGCTGAGCTTCAGACAGATAATCGAGCATCGATGATTGTTGTTAAGCAGCAGGTCAGCCGCGCGCGCAACCCTGGCTGACCTGCTGACCTTTGGACGACGCAGACCATGGCACGTGTCTCACCTGGCGCCACCGGGAAGCGAATATATCTGTGCGCGTGCTGGCCGGCCGTCAGCTGGACGGCCAACACGGTCACGATCAGGTAGGTCCACATGGTGCCGGTCGTGCTGGAGCGATGCTGCTGTGAGTCAGCGGCGCCGGCCGGACCGCTCTTTATAGCACGCGCCGCTGGGCCGCCTCCGCGCGCTCGGTGACGCGCTCTGCCGCCCATTGGATCGGAGCGAGGGGGCTGGGCTTAGCTTGAGGGGATTTAACGTGCCTTTAAAGCCACGCCGCACGGTCTGATCTGATGCGGTTTGTCACGCAGGCGACTCGTGACCGTGGACTGACATCAGGAAAGGTCACGTTGAGGAACAAACAGACCAGAGTGTCAGCGATCAGCTCCGCTGCAGGCTGAAGGCCATCAGATGCATACACCCATAATAAGATGATGTACCGTTATTTTGGTGCCTTATTGCTGCATTCTCTGGACTACGGGTTTTATAATGTTTTAATAATGGTTTTATAATGTGTGTTGCAATGACAGATTCTGGATTTCTAGAAAACGCATCATTCGGGGAGCGGAATTTCTGTGCTTTCCTCTCATCTTGCACATGACCGAGCGAGAATATTATCAATACCGCGATGAACAAAAGCATGTGACTGCAAGCATTCGCCAAATAAATCAGGTGATTGATCACAGCATCAATCCGCATGAGCGGATGCCTGACAAGCGACTAAGATTTAGTACATGATCAGCGCAGGTCGTGCGCTGGTTACAGGTCTGACCAGCGAGTTCAGTTTGGTATCAGTGCACGGACGATGAGGTCAGGCTGCTGCGTAAGCGGCCAGAGAGCAGACGACGCAGCACGGTGACCCGGCCGCCCAGGCGCTCAGACTAAAGCCAGTGGGGCCACGGTCAGCCGATGCAGCACGGTGACCCGGCCGCCCAGGCGCTCAGACTAAGGCCAGTGGGGTCACGGTCAGCCGATGCAGTCCGGTGACCCGGCCGCCCAGGCGCCCAGTCCAAGGCCAGTGGGGTCACGGTCAGCCGGTGCAGTCCGGTGACCCGGCCGCCGGTGACGCTGGAGTGCCGGCACCGCGGTATGGTCCTGCTCCTCAGGCGCCCAGACTAAGGTCAGTGGGGTCACGGTCAGCCGATGCAGTCCGGTGACCCGGCCGCCCAGGCGCCCAGTTTAAGGCCAGTGAGGTCACGGTCAGCTGATGGAGTTCGGTAACCCGGCGGCCGGTGACGCTGGTGCGCCGGTACTGCGGTACGGTCCGCCGCCTCAGGCGCTCGGCACCCCGCCATCACCATCGCCGGTGACGCCGGAGTGTCGGTACCGCGGTACGGTCCGCCGCCTCAGGCGCTCGGCACCTCGCCATCACCTTTCCCGGTGGGGGCAGGGATGGGCTGGCAGCCAGCAAATACCAGACGTGCTTCTTATTCCAGGCGGGCCCGCGTCATCTTGACGTGTATGGACGAATACGACTAGCAACGCTTGACCTTGTGATGGGCAGTTCGCCTGGTAAGCTGTCTGCAAATGTATGCGACGACTTGCCTCCCTCCAGGCCGGCTGGAGGGAGGGGGTGCGACTCCACCAACTGATCACATGTAGTTGTCACTCCGATATCCTGTTCACAGCAAACAATGCATGCATGGCTGAAGCCAGGACAATCGCGCTTTGTTGGCTTCATCACACCTGACGTTATGGCGCCGAGCTATGGTCACAAAACATCACAGCAGACATCTTTCAGTGCATGTTTCTGATGCAACGTGTAACATGAACAGACAATAAAACGTCGTCGAGGGATGGAATGTGAGTGCAACGTGAAGCCAAATCTACACACGGACGAGCAGACATTTCAGTACGGCGACAGCGACAGCCGGTGCTAAATCAGTAACGGTTATGCTCAATCTGCGACTCTACTGGCCATCAGACTTGTGTTCGAACCGAGCTGAATCCTGAATTGAAGCACGGACCGATCGAGCCAATAAAAAAATAGTACTTTGAGCAGTCAGCCGAATCACATTTTTCGTAGATTTCATTAGCTGAATCGGTAGCCGATCATTTCTAACGATCTCGTGTCAGTGAGCCCTAGGGCTCACATTAAAAAGGTAACATGAGGAAACACAGTGCGCCCAGATAAGTTAACAGACCCTTTCAGAGCGTTAACATTAACAGTATGCAGGATTAGTTATACAGCGTTTTACAAAATCAACTCAAAGTTTTGATTATAATTTCTAAGCGGCAAACCCAACATTTCTGAAACTGATCTATTCTGCCAAATGCATAGGCGTAGGAATGTTTCAAAAATTGAGAGGGGGCCAAGCTCAGGGTTTACTTTAGGAACTTTTTCTGTAAATCGAGCCCGATGACCGGAGGGGGGGGGATAGGGGTGGAGATTGTTATCGCTCTTTACCTGAATGTCATGGCTGCTATGCTAGCTATGCATCTAGAGCTGTTTATCACTGGTGCATAATCTTGCCTATTCGACTCATCTGTCATTTGACAACTAAGACTATCCAGTTTTCCTAGATTATTCGTCCATTTTAACATTGTCTCTCCTGGGGAGACGAAATTCCACGAGCGGGTAGGTATTTTGGGTCATTAAGGAAGCATTTGCCTCCACAGTGTAGATACCAAAATACGCCATGGATATAGGATGGTGAGAATCTTGAAAATGAGCCGATGGCTCACAGTGCACCAGGTTTTTCATGCACCTTCATTTCGCTGGCTGCTGTTTAAGAAATAAGACTTGTCGGAGCATTTTGGGCGGAAACGAATTCTGGAGCTTGAAACTGCTAGAAACAATGTGACAAAATCCATAAAACTGGGGATTCTCTTGTAAAAATCAAGCCACATAAAGACGCCCATCTGTCATATGTTCCTTATCTAGGCCCTGCTCCTGTCTGCCGTCGGTGGCCACTGCCCTGGTCCGGATGTCTCCCGCATGACTGACTGCGAACTGATCGTATGGCTACTTTGTTGCGTACTTTTGGATGAGTGTTACTTTTACATGGTGTATGAAACATGTGTTGGACACCTGCAACAGTATTTTCCCCGAGTTATCTTCCCTTATACCACATCATCGCAGAAAAATAGCCTCCGCGAAGTTGTCTGCCTTAGGCATGGATTGGCCCAGCGGACACTTCGTTGCCCATCATGCAACGTACGCGACTTGATCTGCTTTTGCGCGTAGGCAGGGGCGAAGCCAAAGCATTGCCAAGAGGGAACACGGGGTTGACAAAAGCCTATCTTATGATGACCCCCCCCCTCCCCAAAGTCCCCAGATATGGCTTAATTGTTAACAAGTGACACGGTTTTCTTCATTTTATTGTTATTTTTGCCTTGTAACCAGAACAGAATCAGGCGTTGCACGACTGCATAGAAAAAATCACCTGCGTTCTTAATTTACTAGGGTTAGCTGACTCTTTCTAAACCGATAGAATTCAGAATCTTGTTCAATTTTCTATCTGGGTTCTAACAGACCATTGAGGACATCACGAAGGTAGATTGTAGATCGATAGGTTTTGATCCAAATTTGAAGACGACAATTTGATCACAAATCGAGTGGTCAACAATGTGTATTGAAATGGCCAAGCCGTGCTTGTCTGAAAATGTTCACCATTCAGTCAGAATCGAATAGCGATGCAATTTATGCAACGTGTTTTTTTAACATGCTCGCTCGTAAATCTTAGCAACAAAATCCCCGACACCAGACGTTGCAGTCTCCGTAGGCCGCGCAGCGACGGCTTGGCAGCTAATATCCAGCTGTGGCCGACGGGTGGACGAAAATGGCAACGCTTCTTAGAGAGTATCCTTGGAGGCCTCATGACATCATGTCTTGCATTTAGAAGGCAGTCTGAGGGCATATTTCACACGCGTGCAACTTTTAGATTGATAAAAAGAACGATTGGCCCCTAAAGCAAGCAACCGCAAAGTGGGGCTGGAATCTGGTGGTTGAACTGGAATAGTGAAGGTAAAATCTATATTTTCGTGTTTCCCCGCAGCTATTTATCCGTCCAGAAGACAGATTAACACGGTGCCCGCCGTCTGGTGGCACTTGCAGTGGCCGAAACTTATCGATTTTACGGAAGCTGCAATCCAGGCCATCCCTGTCCTTGCTCTCGAGGTTGCGGGCGGGCATGTTCGAGCCTTTTGATATCATTTGTTTCAATAACACATTCTGAAAGGAGTGAACGTTCTCAGGCAAACATGGCATGACCTTGCTCGTTTTTTAATTCATTTCGACCCGTGTTTTTCAACAATAATGAGAGCCCCACTCTACTCAACAATAATGAGACTCCTTATTCCCTTCCGGGCAATGGGCCTCTTCATTAGAACACCAGGGGTACGTTACCGTTTCCGGTCAAGGGGTGAAGGGCCATTCCGTCCCATCGCGAAGCGTCTTCTGGCTATCATTCTGGTGGCACGGGGCGGGATCTCTTGGTCGATCCGGAGGTCATCGGAAGGTTATATCATATCACATTGTTTCCATCCCTAACACGGGAGGCCTTCTGATCCGCGCAGTTAGCCCCGGATCAGCACAGGGACCCTCGTTGACGCAACAACATCCCTGATCACCGCAGGCAGTCCGATAGTTTTCACATAGACTCCAGTTCTGTGTTTTTCTGTGTTCTTCAGAGATATTGAGTTCTCCCTGACTATAGATTGCAGTTGAAATGGGATTCATCATTTGTATTAACATGGCTAGCCCATGTTCGTCTTATAACGCTCAAGATCCTGTCGGAGCTGAAAACTGATAAGAAAACTACGTAATATGGTGTTGAACATGCGTGCTCGCAAGCCATAGCAATAACAGCCTCGACGCCCGGCGTTACAGTCTCCAGGCCGTGCGGCGTCGGTGTTGCGGCTGTAGCACTAAGTGATGGCCAATGAGCGAACGAAAAAGATGACGCATCTTAAGGGAGATGGCTGGTGAGCTAGGTATATCGGCATGCATGCTCAATGCAGTGAAAAAGTAAGCCAAATGCAACCTTAATCTGAAAAGTGGGGGGCCGGTTAACATTGCATGCCCCCCACCTTGAAAAGTGGGGGGAGGGCAATGACCCCCTGCCCCCCCCCCCCGTTCCCACGCCCATGGCCAAATGTCAGCCAG